TTAGTTTCCTGAGGAACCTCCACACTGTTTTCCAGAGGGGCTGTACCAGTTTACATTCCCACCAACAGTGCAGGAGGGTGCCCGTTTCTCCACATCCTCGCCAGCATCTAGAGTTCTCTGATATGCTCATTTTAGCCACTCTGACTGGCATGAGGTGGTTATCTCAGTGTGGTTTTGATTTGTATTTCCCTGATGAGGAGGGAAGCTGAGCATCGTTTCATGTGTCTCCACAGAAACTTTCTACAGAGTAATTATTAAGTATCCCATGTGATGTTAATAACTATTATGTGAACAAAGAAGGTACTATGGTTAAACAAGACTGAGAAACAATGAGTTAAAAAGAGCTTTAGGTTTCTTTACTTTGTGACTTCTCAGAACCTTAAGTAACCTGAAATATTCTACAATATACAGAAATTTTTATCACCCTGGAGGGTTTGAAGGAAGTGTTCTTTGAAATACACATGATGTGCAGCTACATACACTATTAGCATTGCTCTTGTTAGTCTATAGAAGGTCTTTATTTTCTAAATAATTTTTTAAGTTTATTTATTTTGAGAGAGAGAGAGAGAGAAAGCACAAGCAGGAGAGGAGCAGGAGAGGGGGGAGAAGAGAGACAGAGAGAGAGAAAGAGAAAGAGAGAACCCCAAGCAGGCTCTACAATGTCAGCACAGAGCCCGTTGCAGAACTATGACATCATGACCTGAGTTGAAATCAAGAGTCAGATGCTTATCAACTGTGAGTCACCCAGGAGCCCCTATTCAAGCTCTTTAATGACTGGCACTACAGTCAGCTATAGTCATCAATCTCACCTTCCAGCAGAAAATACATACAATGTGCCCACAAAAAGCAGGACAATATACAGCTTAAGGGCATAGACCCTGGAGTTTTCACTAACTAAATGACCTAGGACAATATTCTTCACCTCTCTATGGGCCTCAGTTTCTCCCAACGTGCCTGACACACAATAAGCACAGTAATATGTGTAAGCTACCACTATCACTACCCTCAAAAGTTTTCATGAAAACAACTATTCCTAAGCAACTATATAAATGATACCAACACTAAAGTAACGAAGAATATATAATCAAGCCCACCAGCTAAACAATGCTTTTCTGATAGTACTGAATAAGGCTAAGTACCACCGTCAGGAATAAAACAGAAATCAAGTTCACTGATGCAAAAAACACACTAAAACACATTATAAACATGAAACATTTTCATAAGGGGTTAAGTTTCCATATTAATATTTCAATCCAACATAAGGAAGAATGACATGTGTACATAATGGAGAGTAACCTTCACTCATTCCTCAGAAATTAAAAAATTTGTTCACACAGTCACATGACCCTGAGGAGTCGCTTTCTCATTACCAAAAAAATTAATTTGGCAAATCCAAAGTACAGAAAAGTCCATTTAGGTTTTGGAACAAAAATGTATTCTCCAGTAAGACACAATTTAAAACATGTATCATCTCTTCCCTTCCCCTCCCCCCGGCAAGGAAGAGGAGCAGGGCTTGTCTACGATGGGTCTATGATTTCTACAGACCTTCTGAAAGGCAACACTATCTATTTCAAGGATAAAATTTAAAATGTTAGCTTTATGGAATCAAAGAAAGTATTTTAAATGGAATTTTTTTTTCAGAAAGAAATTCTGAAATAAGACTCTGGGAATGAAATATTCTGGCAGTTTTCTTTCAACACACGCAAGACCTCAACTTATTTTACTGATATTAATACAGTATAATGTACTGATTTAAGACTTAGGAACCAGACTGCTTGAGTTCGATCCTGACTCTACCACTTACTGTATCCTTAAGCTCAGTTTCCCCATCTATACAATGTGCTTAAAAACAGGAAAGATTCAATGAGTTAATCTACATAATCCATAGTAATACCTGGCATACCACAAATACTCAAGAAATACTAGCTAGTATTATCACAAAGTTAACCCACATGAAGCTTTACCATAAAATTTCTGGGAGAAAAAAATATATGTATAGCTGAGTAAATGGGAATAACAAAAATACATGTGATAAAGGAACTGACTGTCACTCTCCTCCAGCTTTAGTGACATGAACTGAGTATAAAACTATGAAATGAAAGCTTTACAGTTGAGTATGTATTAACTCCACATAAATGACTCAGAAAATAATCTCATATCACAGTTACTTAAATTTACTTACGTTTCATATCCATATTTCGGGTTTTATAAACAAAATATGTATAAATCTGTGTTGTGCGTATTAGAATCTGGTCTCCACTATACCGTATTGAGCGATACCACCAAGAGCCCTAAAATGTAAATAAAATCAAATGATAAAGCAACAAAACCACAATAAATATTAAATTTAGTGCAGAATGTTATAGTCAAATTTCCTAAACGTTCATAAAACCAATAACAATACTCGAGCTTTAGAGCAAATGCCTTTGTTACATATTTCAAATATTTTAGCAAGTATTTAAATTGCCCAATACCTAAACACCAACCTACCTCACTACATTATATGATTAAAACATTTAAGTTTCACCTAGAAACTGAACACAAAACAGAAATGAAACAACCCATCACTATAAAAGCAACAAGCTGGTTCCTGACACGTAGTATGTATTCAATAAGTATTTGATAAGTGAGTGCAGGAGCCATTTATAGTTGATACACTACTTTCATTCACATGACTCCAAACAACTGGATCCTCACACAACAAACCTATGAAGAAGGCAAGACAGGTTAATTATTAGTCTCACTATGCGACTCAGAGGAACTGTAAGATCAGAAGGAAAACCACCAATCACAAAAGTAACAGTAACATCATGAACTGTATGGTATTTCCATATTGACATATTATGCAGCTGTTTTTAAAAATGAGGTTGCTCTATGTTGTACCTCCAACACAGGATGCAAAAAATGTGACAGAACAATAGAAAGATCACATTTTTTTCAAAGTGTGTATGTAAACATAATCCATAGAAAAATATCTGAAAGGGAGAACACCAAACTTAGCAGTGATTATCTCTAAAAAAGAAATGAAGTTGAGGGAGGCAGTAAAGGAAGATATTCCAAACTCTAAATATACCTGTATTATTTCACTTATGTGTAACTTTTGTATTGGGAGGAAATATACTTGAACATACTTAAACGATACACCTTTAGAAGACCTTTAAAGTATAGTTGAATATAAGATCCTTAAAATTCAAGGATCAATGGATTATATTCTAATAAAAATTACCCCAAAGCATGTCACCAATTCCCTTCCCAAAAAAAGGTAATAAAAAGAGCCAGAACTTACCACAACAACTGGAAGGATAACCATGAATGCCAATCCATATACAAGTAAAACCTAGAATTAAAAGAAGAAAATTATGGCTTTCACAGGTAAATTATAAAAACACCCATGAAGACTTATTTTAAGGCTTACACGCGGGAGGCACTATCAAAAGCACTCCTCAGGGAGCATGGGTTGCTCAGTGGGTTAAGCATTTGACTCCTGATTTCAGCTAACATGACCTCACACTTTGTTGAGTTTGAGCCCTACATCGGGCTCTGTGCTGACAGCACATAGCCTGTTTGGGATTCTGTCTGCCTCTCTCTTTCCCCCTCGCTGTTTGCTATCTCTCAAAATAAAAATGAACTCTTAAAAACAAAAAAAAAGTACTCCTCATATATTATTTCATTTAATTCTTATTTTATTTTCAAACCTTATGAGAAAAGTACCATTATCATTTTTCTCTTGCAAACAGAAAACGTGCAGCACACACAGGTTACAGGACTTGTCTGAGGTCCCACAGCTGGTAAGTGGTAGGGCCGGGATTAGAATCCAGGCATTTCAACTCTAAAACTCATGCTCTTATCCACTGTAATAAACTGCCTTTTAATTTGCTCTGTAGATAATACCAGCAAAACAGTTTTATAAATTATATTTTCCTCCCAGTCAGATACTTAATAGCCCTACACATTAGTAAGCAGTGCCTTGGAAATAAATGACAGAATCCTGGTTCCTTATCAAGGAACAACTTCATAATATCCTGTTTACAAGTAATTTCTGTCTGTTGGTCTTAGATCTTTCTCCTATTGCTTGATTCCAAATCTGGTAGCTAACTATCTCCCTCTTTTCCAGTATTCCCACAGTTATCCTAAGCATGACAGACACGCTTACATACAGAAAGCATATATCCCTGAAGATAACAAACATTTGTCAGCCATAAAATAACATTAAATAGTCATTTTCAAAACAAATTACAGACTAAATGAATTTTTATTTTTATTGCTTCAAAGATAGCTCTTAATCATTTTTAATAAATGTGAAATAAGGAAACATCTATTCCTGAACAGTAAGTTAAGATAATTCCTGATGTTTCAGAGTTGTAGCATCTATCAAAAGTCTGATACCCTACTGCCTCCCTAAGCACCATATGGAATATACATCATTAATTTAACATATACTAACATTCATTTAGCCTGGGTAAATGTGAAATGAAGGAGAATTTAAATTTTGAGCACTACTTAGGACAGATACCATACAAAACCACAGTTCCCCAAACCAACCTGAAACTACCTCCAAAAGAAAAGGAATCACCACTTTAAGGTTTTAAAACATATTTAGAACATACTGCTCTTCCTCTGAAGAAAAACAAGCACAAAAGAAAAAAAAAAAAAATCCACACTGCCCCAAACAACAATCTAATAATGGGAACCAATTCTTTTCTCTATTGCGTAAAAACAGTTTTCAAAATACAGTTAAATTAAAGACAGCATATGGCAAGGATGTGGAGAAACGGGCACCCTCCTACACTGTTGGTGGGAACATAAACTGGTACAGCCCCTCTGGAAAACAGTGTGGAGGTTCCTCAAAAAATTAACATTAGAACTCCCCTATGACCCAGCAATTGCACGCCTGGAATTTACCCAAGGGATACGGGAGTGCTAATGCATAGGCACACATGTACCCCAATGTTCATAGCAGCACTCTCAACAATAGCCAAATCATGGAAAGAGCCTAAATGTCCATCAACTGATGAATGGATCAAGAAGATGTGGTTTATCTATACAATAGAATACTACATGGCAATGAGAAAGAATGAAATCTGGCCATATGAAGCAATGTGGATGGAACTCGAGGGTATTATGCTAAGTGAAATAAGTCAGGAAGAGAAATACAGATACCATGTTTCCACTCATATGTGGAACAGGAGAAACTTAACAGAGGACCGTAGAGGAGGGGAAGGGGAAAAAATATTTAAGGAGAGGGAGGGAGGCAAACCATAAGAGAGTCTTAAATACTGAGAACAAACTGAGGGTTGATGGGGGTGGGAGAGAGGAGAAAATGGGTGATGGGCATGGAGGAGGGCACTTGTTGGGATGAGTATTGGGTGTTAGTTACTTGCAAACCAACTTCACAATAAATGATATTAAAAAATACTTCAAATTGGAAAAGAAAATTAAAGACAACATAACAATATTTTGATGTAGCTCTCTATATTACTAAGATATATCTAGCACATTATAATGTGTCTTATTTACATGTACTCACCAAAATTGAGTTTTTCTGGTCCACTATCCAAGCTGGCAGGGCAATTCCAAAGCTTGTGGCTAAAATAGAAGAGTATTTCTGAAGAAACTCCACTTCTAATTTTATTTATATATATTTCAAAATTCTGTGCCTCAGCCCCTACCCACCCCAAATAAAACCTTTCAGAAAGATTATATTATGTGTGTTCCCATTACATAAAAGTTAATGGATTTTTCCATAAGGGGTGACAGGGGGACTCAACCAAAGTATATGAATTCCCTCTTAGTAAATGTAAATTCTTTTATATATCCTGAGTTATGTAGACACTATGAATACATAAGAAAATGTTTAAAGTCAATAAAGATAAACAGATTGTTTTCATCCAACTTTTATCAACTACTAGTTGGAAATGATGAATAATGACAATGATTACTCTTCTCATCAGAACAATCTAAACTCTATCTTTCAAACTGGCTGCTAGAAAGAAAAATACAGTAAAAATTAGCTAAAGGGAACCCAATTTACATATCTATTTAACTCCTTGAGGTTATAATTTTCCTATTCTTAAACTAAGAATCAAAATATTCCTTTCAATCTATTAATATTTTCACTTAAACACACAAACACACACCCATACATATACTATATCACTAGTAATTTTTAATTATTATTTACCACACCTTGAGGGCCATCTGGATTTCCAAACTCTTCCCAGTTTTTCCGGGACTCTTCATCAGTTAAACTAGCATCAAAAGAACAAAATTGCAAACTTAGAAAAACCACATCTGAAAAGTACTCACATACACAAACTCTATTAGCCAACCAACTCATTTCTCATAGATATTAATTTCAGAAAATCAAGAAAAGCCTCTCTGAAAACAGAAAAAAAGAAGATAGCAAGGAATTCTACATTAAAGAAAATGCCAACTATTGAGCCTTTAGAGAAATTCCTGGTTGGCCGATGGGTTCTGAAGTTTTGCCTGTTCAAGGTGGGAGATAAAACTTTACACATTTTCTAAGAAATGTCAGACACTTAAGTCAACCCAGGTGCCCCTAGAGTGATTTTTTTAAACACCTAAAGAGAAATATAACCCTCGACCTGGGCGGGCAGTGGCTCAAGGCACAGAATGAGAGTGGTTTTATTTCAGATCCCAAAATAGATGTTAAAAAAAAAACACTGAAAGAAAATTTCAATTCTTTAAAAAACTTTACGTAGTTAAGGAAACAAGGCACACACACACAAAAACGACTAGTAAGATCATAAGAAAGGCATTTTTGAAGTGGCAAAAGATTATGTTTATGTCCTAATCTAATTTTAACCATATTTCTATTTCCCAGAACATATGCACATAGGATACAATGTAGTTTTCTATTCAACAAAGCTCCACAATTAGAGAATGCAGAAGTACCTTTAAAAAATAGCAATAATTTTCAATGATTTCAATTTTTTTCACCTAAACCGTAATTTCTGTTTTTCATTATTATTTTTTTTTTAGGTAAGCTCTATATCCAACCTAGGGCTTGGATCCATAACCCTGAGATTAAGAGTTGCATGTTCTACCAAATGAGCCAGCCAGGTGCCCCCCTATTTTTTTTTTTTTAAATTGAAGTATAGTTGACTCACGATGTTACATTAGTTTCAGGTATACAAGATAGCTATTTGACAGGTTTATGTTATGCTATGCTCACCACAAGCATAGCTACCATCTGTCACTACACAATGCTATAATAACATTGACTATATTCTCTACATTGTACATTTTATTCCCATGACTTATTCTTTCTATAACTGTAAGTCTGTATCTCCCATTCCTCTTCACCCACTTTGCCCATTTTCCCATCCCATTCCCCTCTGGCAACCTGTTTGTTCTCAATATTAATGGGTCTGTTTCTGCTTTTTGGTTATTCCTTTGTTTTTTAAGTCTCACATATAAGTGAAATCACATCCTATCTGTCTTTCTCTGCCTTATTTCACTTAGCATAATACCCTCTAGGTCCAACCATGTTGTCACAAATGGCAAAAATCACATCCCTTTTTACGGCTGCATCATAATATTTCATTGTATAAATAGATACCACATCTTCATCCATCCATTCAGGTATCAATGGACAGTTGGGCTGCTTCCATACCTCAGCTCTTGTAAATAACACTGCAATAAACACAGGAGTGTATGTATCTTTTTTGAATGAATGTCTTTGTACCCTATGGGTAAAAACCCAGTAATGGAATTATGGGTTCATATGGTATTTCTATTTTTACTTTAAAAAAAAAATTTTTTTTTTAACATTTATTCATTTTTGAGAGAGGGAGATAAGAGTGTAAGTGGGGGAGGGGCAGAGAGAGAGGGAGACACAGAATCCGAAGCAGGCTCCAGGCTCTGAGCTGTTAGCACAGAGCCCGACGCGGGGCTCAAGCCCACAAGTGGTGAGATCTTGACCTGAGCCAAAGTCAACACTTAACCAACTGAGCCACCCAGACACCCCTATTTTTACTTTTTTGAAAATGCTCCATAATGGCTTCTATAGTGTCTATACCAATTAACATCCCACCAACAGTGCACGAGGATTTCTTTTTCTCTACATCCTCGCCAATTTGTTATTTCTTGTCCTTTTGATTTTAGACATTTTGACAGGTTTAAGGAGATACCTCATTGTGGTTATGATTGCATTTCCCTGATGATTAGTGCAGCTGAGCATATTTTCATGTGTCAGTTGATCATCTATATATATTCTTTGGGAAAATATCTATTAAGGTCCTCTGCCCATTTTTAAAAATCATATTGTTGGGTTTTTTGGTGTGGAGTTGCATAAGTTCTTTACATATTTCAGATATTAACCACTTACTGAAGATACTATTTGTAAATATCTTCTCTCATTCAAGAGGGTGCCTTTCTGTTGGTTTCCTCTGCTGTGCAAAATCTTATTTTGTAGTCCCAAAAGTTCATTTTCACTTGTTTCCCTTGTCTTATGATTTTAATATTATTTTTTTCTAAGTAGACTCCATGCCCAATGTGGGGGTACGACCTTGAGATCAAGAGTAAATGCTCTGACTGAGCCAACCAGGTACCCCTGCCTTATGATCTTTATCTAGAAAAAGGCTGCTATGGTGGATGTCTAAGAAATTACTGCCTACATTCTTCTAGGTGTTTTATGGTTTCAGATCTCATAATTAGGTCTTAATCTATTTTGAGTTTATTTTTGTGTATGATGTAAGAAAGTGGTCCAGTTCCATTCTTTCTCATGTAACTGTCTAGTCTTCCCAGCACCATTTACTGAAAAGACTGCCTCTCCCCAGTCTTGCCTCCTTCGTCATAGATTAAATGACCATATAAATGCAAGTTTATTTTTGGGCTATTTTGTTCCAATAATCTGTGTTTCTATTTTTGTGCCACTCCTATACTGTTTGATTACTACAGCTCTGTAGTATATATATCTTGAAATCTGGAATTATATCTGCTTTGTTCTTTCTCAAGATTGCTTTGGCTATTCAGGGTCTTTTGTGGCTCCGTACAAATTTTAGAATTATTTGTTCTAGTTCTGTGAAAAATGCTGTTGGTATTTTGATAGGGACTGCATGGAATCTGCAGACACTTGTTACAGACATTTTAACAATATTAATTGTTCTAACCCATGAGCATAAAATATCTTTCCATTTGGATGTGTCATCTTTAATTTCTTTCATCAGTATTTTATAGAATTCAGAGTATAGATTTTTCACCTCCTTAAGTTTATTTCCAAATATTTTACTCTTTTTAATACAATTGTAAATGGAACTGTTTTTCTTAAATTCTCTTTCTGCTACTTCACTATTAGTGAGTAAAAATGCAACCTACTTCTAGGTATTAATTTTGTATCCTGCAACTTTACAGAATTCATTTATTACTTTTAATAGTTTTTTGGAGATCTTTAGGGTTTTCTTTCTTTTTTTATTTTTTTAAACGTTTATTTTTGAGAAAGAAAGAAGAGAGTGCAAGTGGGGAAAGGGCAGAGAAAGAAAGAGAGAGACTCAGAATCCAAAGCAGGCTCCAGGCTCTGAGCTGTCAGCACAGAGCCCAACGTGTGGCTCAAACTTGGGAATGGCGAGATCATGACCTGAGCCAAAGTCAAGACACTTAACCCACTGAGCCACCCAAGCGCCTCTAGGGTTTTCTATGTAGAGTATCATGCCATCTACAAATGATGACAATTTAACTTCTTCCTTACCAGCATGGAGGTCTTTTTCTTCTTTTTCTTGTCTGACTGCTGTGGCTAGCACTTCTAGTACTGTGTTGAATAAACATGGTGAGAGAGGACATCCTAATCTTATTCCTGCTTAGTTTTCCACCTGAGTATGATGTTAGCTGTGGGTTTTTCATATATAGCTTCTATTATGTTGAGGTATGTTCCTTCTAAATCTACTTTATTGAGAGTTTTATCATAAACATATGAATTTTGTGAAATACTTTTTCTGTATCTATTATTATTATAGAAATAATCATCTGATTTTTATTTTTCATTCTGTTAATGTGGTGTATCATACTGGCTGATTTTGCAAATACTGAGCCATTCTTGCACCAGAATAAATTCTCCTTGATTGTAGTGAATGATCCTTTTTTAAAGTACTGTTGAATGTGATTTGGTAATACCTTGTTGAGAATTTTTGCTTCCATGTTCATCAGGGATTGCAAATATTTTTAAACTTATCAATCTGGTCATTAATGAAAACAAGTATCTTGACACCTTCAGTCCCTCTTTAACTCCATTTACACTAGCTGACCAAGGCCAGAGTAAAATAAAAGAAGTCAACAAAAAGCACTATCAGAGACTGCAAGTTCCTAAGGAGGGGTGCATATGGTGCTTCTTTTTTGCCGAGGGAGGGATGTCTCTCAAAAAATTTTGGGGGCTCCTTGGTGGCTCAGTCAGTGAAGCGTCTGACTTTGGCTCAGGTCATGATCTCACAGTTCGTGGGTTCCAGCCCTGCATCGGGCTCTGTGCTGACAGCTGGCTCAGAGCCTGGAGCCTGTTTCAGATTCTGTGTCTCCCTCTCTCTCTGACCCTCCCCTGCTCACCCTGTCTCTCTCTCTCAGAAATAAATAAAACATGAAAAAAAATTTTTTTTCTAAATTTTGCCCTGGTTTCCCTGTACAAGTGTCCACTCACTAGGGCTTCAGCTATTCAGTCTTCTAACTAGATTTTTTTTTCCCAAAAATAACTGTCTGTCCCCTCTACCTTTCTGATGATGACAACCTAATAAACTGCTCTGTTCTCTATATAATGCTCTCAGATTTCACAAAATAAAGCATAGCTCACATCATAGAAGCACTTGATTTTTTCAAATTGTACACACAGCTGATTAACTCATTCATTACGCTGAGATGTACAACTGGTGTGAGACAGGCACCATGTTCGATATTCAAATTAAAGGAATCATCAAATTTGTAAAAACTGTTAGAAAGCAACTAATTTTTGGCTACTTATTAGTGCTTCAGTAGAATACCATTTCTAAGACTTAAAGTACGTAAAAGTTATGTAAACTTAATATGTCATATATAACGTGCTTAAACAAAACCAATGATATTAATGTAATTTTCAAAAATTCAGGGAGTATAAGGTTTCCTAAACATGATTATATCCCTTAACTTTGGAGGTGTGAGGTTGTGTCATAGATTCTATTACGAATCTGGTAAAATCTATAACCCTTCTGCCTTAAAAAAATGCAGTTACAAATACACATATATTCTGTAGAGTTTCAGGGACCCCAGATTATACAACCTAATCTAGAGAACGCTTTCAATAAATTATAGGTGAATGACCCTAAGTTGACTATGTAAAGCTAAATTACATATTCATACATAGGAACACATGAAAACACGTTTTTAAAAATTAAAATAGTTTTAAAGTAACCTCTAGGGGTGTGTGGGTGGTTTAGTCAGTTGAGCATCCAACTTCAGCTCAGCTCATAATCTCATGGTTCATGGGTTAGAACCCTGTGTTGGGCTCTGTGCTGGCAGCTCGGAGCCTAGAGCCTGCTTCTGATTCTGTGTCTCCCTCTCTCTCTGGCCCTCCCCTGCTCATGCTCTGTCTCTCTCTCTCAAAAATAAATTAACTTAAAAAAAATGGTCCTTTAAAATAAATAAAGTAACATTTATGTTGTCCACTTGCTATAAAGTAGCTTAAAAACAGGTTTTACACCCAAAAACCAAATCTCAACTATAACCAGGAAAAAACCCAGAAACTATGAACCAGAAAATTCAATAGTCAGTCTAACTCCTCAAAAATAACCAGACCTCCTTTCCTTTAAGTTAGAAACTGGTGTGAAGAAACAGGAATCAACCAGCCTATGAATATAATGGACACGTAAGGGAAAAGAAAATCTCCTGAAAAACCAAAGCAAATTCTAAAAAACTGCAGATCAAAGACTGCTGCCTGAGTTATACTTGGGTTGCTACAGCTTTGCATAAAATGGGAACTTCAATCACTCAGAACTTGCATTTAGTAAAATGTACTTTTATCTAACCCATTTACACTTATACAAGCTACAAGATCTCAAAGTTCTGGGTCGCATAATCATTTTACATCATTTGCGCAATGGACCATCAACTATTTAAGACATTTTACATACAAAACATCCTATATCTTTATCATGTAACTAAGTTAAAACCAAAGGCCATGTATTATTCTTCTGTACTTTTTCAGAATAGTGACCATACATCATAAAGTCAGATTTCCAGTAACCTGAGGACAAAATCATGAACTTAAAAATGTTATAAAATGTTATAATACCTGGGGCACCTGGGTGTCTCAGTTAATCGTCCAACTTAATTCTGGCTCAGGTCATGATCTCACGGTTGTGAATTCGAGCCCCACACTGGGCTCTGTGCTGATAGTTCAGAGCCTGCTTGGGCTTTTCTCTCTCTCCCGCTCTCTCTGTGTCCCTCCCCAGCTCTCTCTCTCTCAAAATAAAGAAATAAACTTAAAAAAAAAAATGTTACAAGACCTGAAAACTAAACTTAATCTAAAATTAAAACTACTCACTAAATAATCTTAGCTATCTGACTTCCTCTGGGTATCTTTAATTCTTCTTAAATTACCTGAAGACAGCAACTAAGGCACTGAAACACTTGTGCAATAAGAGTAAATGGCTGGAGGAGACAAAATAAAAAAAAGGGGGAGACACCAACTGAAAGACTGTAATCTGCAGGACATCTGCTCTATAGAAAATGTAGTATACACTGCAGAAGCTCCTAATGGCATTGCTTTATTGCAGAATCATATTCACATATATAACATGCAACTCACAAAAAAGAGGGGACAGGAGACACAGTCAATATACTTTCATTAAGCATAAAATGAATATTTCCCAAACTTCTGTAATTCACATGCCTCTTTCACAGTTTGCTATTTTATCTGAGTATACTATTACTTCTATTTTTAAAATCAGCTTACAAAATGATACATCCCTGAGCTCTCTAAAAACAGACAATATCTTGTCTCTTGTCCATATTTTACTCTTTAATTCAACACAAGAGCTATATGGGAATATGCCTATGAGTCCTGAAGAATCCAACTAACTGTTACCTCTCATAATATTAACACTCAAGGAAGAGCTACCTCTAATTTTATAAACTCTATCCTATTTCCCAAAAATTAAACTAGTCTTTACACAATTTAATGAAACAAGCTACATTTCCAAAACAAGAGAAATAGATCTAGCTTACCAAAAGCCTAGAAATGAAAACCAGGTGTAAGCATATCCTCTTCTAATCAGGATACGCAGAAATTAGCTTAATTAACTTACTACTTAATTTAACTAACTTCACAGGGCAAAAGCCACTCTAACTTACTTAAAATTCTAGTTAATTCAGCACTCTAGGACTGTCACGCAGTTCCGTAAATAACAGATTCAACATATGAGGTTTTTAGCATTTAAAAGTGCCTGACAATTTACTATTTCATTCAAATAAAGAACAATCTTTACCACTTCTAAAAATGTGTAATGGGTCCTATGATACTTACGCTGCATAAGCTTTTGCTATCCTCATGAACATAACTTCATCACCTCCTTTATCTGGATGATATTTAAGTGACAGCAAACGATACTGTTTCTTAATTTCTGCTACTGTTGCCCCCTAAAAGAAAAGCTTTGTTTTAGTAAAAGTAAGCACAATGTTGTAAATTCATCCCATTTTAAACTTAAAATATTAACTATTCAATATTTTCAGAGGGGCCACTGAGTGGCTCAGTTGGTTAAGGGTCCAACTTCGGCTCAGGTCATGACCTCGTGGTTCATGGTTTCAAGCCCCACATCAGGCTCTGTGCAGACAGCTCAGAGTCTGGAGCCTGCTTCGAATTCAGTGTCTCCTTCTCTGCCCCTCTCCTACACATTCTCTCATTCTTTTTCTCAAAAAATATTTAAAAAAATTTTTTTAGTATTTTCGGAAAGAGGAAATGCTTTCATCCTATATACTTGTCCCTTAAATTTCATCCCATGTATTTTTTAAATAAAAATATACTTCTTATGTCCAATATATTTATTTTATTGAGCACCTACTATGTGCCATGCAGTACGCTAGGCACCAATGATTTAAGAGTAAAACCACATAATGCCACATTGAAATAAAAGGATAGTAACATTTAATTATCAAGGAATGACCACAGTAAATTAAATCTGTCTGAAGAAACCCTCAAATCAAAGGTTAACTTTCCTTCTAAGAAATACTCTGAAGAATACGTGGTTTCATCTGCTTATCAATACTTTAATATTAAATAAACACTTAAGAACATTACCTTAGCTGTTTCCTAATCAGATTCAATTTCTATTAATAAATTTTTCATATTAATTTTTATGGCATTAAATTGCCCACAAATCTTTTAATCTGAAAGCAAATTTTGCTTTTCCAAACCAGAAAACTAGAAGATATGTTTTGCATTTATATTATATTATATGAACCTCTGGATCAAACCATCTACTGAGCAAATACTAGAAGTAAAGAAAGTGATTTGGGGGAAAAATACAAAGAGCACTAGATTCAGCTTGGCTACTAAGAAGCTATAGGACTCTAGGCAAGACATAGTTTTCCAGGCCTCGTTTTTTCCATTGGAGAAAAAAGGCCAGAGGATCTTTAACATTCATTTCAGTTCTAACTTTCCACTGATATACCTAAAGGACTAATTTTCTACTGGGATCCATCCATCAGGTTCAATCAAGAAGTCACCCAAAGAACACATATATCCAAGGTTACAATGAAACCAGCTCCTTGTAACACAAAGACAACACACTGCCTTTGCGTCAACTAACAAAGGGTCATAAGGTTTTTATCATCCAATTAACATAAATGAACCTCCTGGTTTTAACTCTGCATTAAACCAATCCTACATAAGTCTTTAAAAAATATACTAACTTCTCATCTCATCTTCAAATATTCTTACATTTTAGCAATTACAAACCAAACCTTACTAGAATGGCAATCAACATTTGTAGCTTAAAAAACATACATACATTAGAATAATAATAGATTAGATATCCAAAGCCTCATTCCTTTAGGCACAATCCATTTTCTCTTAGGATACAGACATTCAGTATTTTCGTGAGATCAATAAACTAATGTGCATTATATAAAAGTACTACTTACAGGATCCAAATTTAATACTTCATAAGGATTGTATTCTTGATATTCTCGGTCTGTTTTGGAAACTTTGTATGCAAGGAATAAGAACAATGCCCATCCTGCAAGCAGAACTATTTTCCTGTTTAGGAAAAAGATAAATTAAGTATAAATACATACATCTATATTGTTTTCCTTTAAGAGTCTGTAAGACATTATGGCAGATCAAGGCAATAAAACAATGTGAAGTGTCCTATATCACTATGCTATGGACTCAAGTCTATAATCTCTGGGTTGTAAACTCCTGTTACAGAAAAAACAGTGTCTTTTTTTACCTCTGAATTCTCTAGAATCTAGTATAGCCTTACATCTAGAATCTTGCATGTGATATTCCCTCAATTACTATTTGCAGAATTTTATGTATAGAACATAATTCAACTTACTAACTTATCGGTCTCATTACATTAGACCAAAATATATCAATACTAAGTACTCAGTAAACCATGTAATGTAAAAAAAAGAGCTGCTCTTACCCTTGCAATTACACTTTACTACGATAAACTACAAAAAAAAAAAAATGGGTCAATTATGCAATGATGAATAGCACTGTTTATAACAGTAAAACTTTAGAAACAAACTAAATGTCCATTTATATGGAAGTAATTAAATAAATCATTTATAGGAGACTAATTAAATAAACCAAGATACAACCAAATAATTAGCCAATACAAATATAGAAAGGTGTACATAATAGGTTAAAAAAGGATATAAAGGAATATATGGTTTGAAAAAAAACTAATTCCTCCTCTGCAAAATGTTTTATTTAGTAAAAATATTTAAAACACTGGTATTAGCAGCGTTGGAGAGGCTAAAGAAAAAAGGAACACCCATACACTCCATACTCTGAAGGAATATCTGGCAATAAGGTATCAAAAACCCTAAAGTACATACCCTTTAACCATCTACTCCAAGAAATTTAGAAGGAAATAAACTAGAATTAAGTATACAAAGTATAAAAATCTGGCCACAGATATAACAGCAGAAAACACACAGATGTCCATCAACATAGTAGACAAATAAATTAACAGTATATTCATAAAAGTGAAATGTCATTTAGCCAATAAAGACGGTATTTGCTGTGGAAGATTATCTGTTGTTAAATTTTAAAAAGAGGGACTCCTGGGTGGCTCAGTCAGTTAAGCATAAGCTCATGGTTTCGGCTCAGGTCAGTCTCGTGGTTTTGTGGGTTCAAGTCCCACGTCAGGCTCTGTGTTGACAGTGTAGAGTCTACTTGGGATTCTCTCTCCTCTATCTCTGCCCCTCCTCAACTCACACTGTCTCTGTCTCTCTCAAAATAAATAAACTTAAAAAACTTTTAATTAAAAAAAAACAACTTTCGAAGATATATGTATAATATAATGCTATTTTACAGATAAAAGTTTATTATAAATAAAAATATAGAAGGTAAATCATCTTAATAATGGCTATCTTTAAGCGGTGAAACTGAATAAAAGTTTTTTTTTATATCCTTTATATCAATTTGTTATGCTGAGTAGAACTGTTAAACACATAAAATGAACCACAGGAAACCTAATCAAACAAAATTGGAGTGACCTGTTTTCAAAGACAGAAAACATTCCATGTGTTTAAGTTCACTTGGTAGAAATCTAGCTTAAATATGTTTATTTGGAATGAGCCTCTAGGATCAACTTCCAACCTACCTAATGACCTTTATCACCCGTATTTTTCAAAACACACCATCTCCTCAAGTTCCCTAAGCTTTCCCCACCATCATGCTTTTGCTCTTGAATCTTTCTACCTAGAATTCCCATTCTCCATCTGTGCCTTTCCAAACTCTACACATCCTTCCAGACTCATACCTCAAAGCAATCCTTATCTTTGCCAAGGTGATCAATGAGGAAACAGTCACAAAGAAGCAGAAACCAAGTCTCTGCTCCTCTAACTCACTGCAAGCTCCTTGAGAAGTAGACAGGATCTCACTCAGTTTTGACTAATCCCAGTGCAGCTTAATCGCAGATGGCATTCAAATGCAAATTTCTTTCCACTTGGCCAAAATAATGTTCTAATTCTTATTAAGGGCAAAATATAGTACTGCAAAGGACTTTCCATACTACCTAAATGCTCAAAGACAAAGATGGTGCCACAACTGGAACATTCACTCTTACCTAGCTATGTAGGGAGAGGTAATTAAGAACACAGGCTCTGGAACAAAACTACCTGAGGTCAAATCCCCACTTCACTACTTATGAATTTAGAGATCTTGGAAAGTTAGTTGCTTTCTCCTTTACAATTCAGTTTCCAATTTTTAGGGTGGGTTTAATAATTAAATGAGATTAGGTATGTAAGACACCTAGAAGGTGCCTCACTGATAGTAAACAATCAGTTCCTGTTAGCTGTTCTTAGTATCTCTGACCCAAATCTCAGCTCTGACCTCACTCAGAGAAGCCTTCTCTGTCTAGGCCAGAGTTGAGAGCCCTTCATCTGCTCTTACCTCTCTCACAGCCCTTATTATTACCATTACCTGTTTACTTGTACTTCTCACAACTTTTAAGTTCTTGAACCACATCTATTTGTTAATCACAATATATCAGCTCTTGATATCATACCTGATACATACACAATAGGCACAATAATTACTTATTTAATGAATAATGAAAATAATTTAAATAGCAATTTTTAAAAAATAAATGTTTATTCATTTCTGAGACAGAGTGTGAGCAGGGGAGGGGCAGACAGGGGGACAGAGGATCTGAAGTGGACTCTGCATTGACAGCAGGGAGCCCAATGCCAGGCTCAAACTCATGAACCATGAGATCATGACCTGAGCTGAAGTTGGACACTACTAACTTAGCCACGCAAGTACCACTAAATAGTAATTTTTACTTTAAACCCAAAGTCTGCCATACCCTCAATTGGCTAAAGAACACTTGAAAACCTACTTCATTCCCACACAAGTTAGTAATTCCACATCTTGTTCTGCCAACTACAAAAGCTCAGAAAACAAGGATAAAAAGTAAAATTAAAACCACTAAAAACCAAAACAAAGACTTAAAAGCAAGGACAGAAGGAAAATGAAACAAAACACCGAGGATATGTATACCCCATAATAGCTTTACATGTAGCACCTGGCTCTCTGAGACAAAATATAAAGGGAAAAGAAGACAGGCTCATAAAAGAATCTCTCAGGCTGATGAAACCTATAACAACCAATAAAACTATGCTCTAATTTCCTAAAGGCCAAAGCAAAGGTGGAAACATAATGGATGTCATCATGATCCACACCTAAATTTTATAAACATAGCCTGTAAAAAGATAAGCATTTTCCCCTACATATAGGGTCAGTGATCAACTTGTGACGTCTTGTGCTTTTTCTTTAAGCATATTTTAAAAGTCATTTTGGAACCAACTTCCGGAAGTTAGAACACTATACAATGACTGCATAATTTTGAAAGAATGCTTTAAAGTTATGTAGCAAAAAGGTTTTGATGGTTTCTGACCTTATCTAAATTGTTACCAGTTATCTATTTAATTTTTCCTTATATAAACATCCTTTAATCCGTACTTCCATTTAAGTAAATCAGTTTACTAATCACTGAAGAGAACTTCACACAGTTGGGCTTATTCCTTGAAAACTGAGGTTCAGATACTAACAAAGTATAGACCAAAGCCCAAAAAAGAAGAGAGTGGGAGACCAAAAATATTCGCCTTGCTGCCTCATAAAACTTTATGAGAAGCAAAAGCAAAGAGTCAACAGTGAACATAAAACTACTCTTGTAAATGCTAACTTTGCGGTTTAGTTTTACATCACTGAAGAGCTCTTAACACCAAAGCCAAGATTTCCCTTCCTCTGTAAAGGAACTAAACCAGGCAAAGTCAAACCTTACAAAGAAAAACTATTTAAAATCCCTGAAGTTCGGTATGTTGAAAATTATCATCATTTAAACCAAAATCAAAAAATACATGGTTCTACTTTTACTAATTTCCTCTGCTAATTCTTCCCCTCCTATCTACTGGATAAACAGATATAAGTAATTCACAAGATACAGTCCTCCGATAATGGCAAGTCGTTCATCATCTATCAGATTCATCTACTACCTCGAAACTGACCGCTCAGGGTAAAGGTCCAAAGTCTAGGCTCTAAACCAGCAGACCCCAGATCCCATAGCCTCACAAAATCAAACAAGCCTGCTCTAATTAAACATTCTAACGGCCTGTTTAATCAGATTGGTGTACAAAATAAAAGGTGACTAGGTCCCTGCTCCACCACTTCTAGCTCCAGGACCTTGGTAAAGTTACATCTTCTTAGTCTCATCAGGTTCTTCATCTAAGAAAACAACAAAAACATCTACTTTAAAGTTAATAATAATAAAATTAGGAAATTAACACATAAAGCCTTAGCACAGCATCTGGCATACAGTATGTGCTCAATAAACCCTAATTATCACATATGAAATGCAAACATGATCATGTCGCCTCCCTGTTTTTGATAATCTTTTAAAGATTCCCCATAGTCTTCAAGGCAAAATTCAAATCCTGGCAAGAGGCACAAGGTCTTCCTTCAAGATCTGACTTCCCTTTCTCCCATCCTCCCTCAAGTCAGAAGTACATTCTCAGGGCACCTGGGTAGCTCAGTTAAGCCGACTTCAGCTCAGGTCACGATCTCACAGTTCATGGGTTTGAGCCCCGCATCGGGCTGTGTGCTGACAGCTCAGAGCCTGGAGCCTCTTTTAGATTCTGTGTCTGCTTCTTTCTCTCTGCCCCTCCACTGCTCATGCTCTGTCTCTCAAAAGTAAATAAACATTAACAAACAAAGAGTACATTCTCTCTCCTAAATCATTCTGTTCAGACAACTCTCAAATTCATATCTTACCCCTACTAAGACTACAATTTCTTTAAACATTGTCTTATTCATCATCATATCCATATTTTATATGATACCTACCAAAGAATAAGCAGTATTTTTTTAAATTGAAACCAATTACTTACTTCACAGTAGGAATAATATTTGGCTGGGGTTTTAATAACCGTAAACGATACCACATACATCTTCCATATACTTTTCTGATATTCTTTAATCGAATTTGCTCTGTTAAAACAATAAATAAATAAGGTGATCAGTTAAAAAGCATTTTTCACAGTGAAGGCAAAACCAGTTAATAACATACTAACCTTCATTGCCATGCTAAAATTTTGTTGGAACATCAAAGTATTACCTACTCAAATAACCTTTAAGAAAAAGTCACAAAATAGGTTAATTTTTCTGCCACTCCGAACAAATGATCTATCTGGAAAATTTTGTTCAACTACAAGGCAACCATTTTCATGTGAGACTTAAATAACTTCTAATCGAAAAATATAAAAAACTGACTTGAATCCAAAACACTTAGTCACGTAATCAGTAATTTCTGAGAAATGCTCTTTCTTTCCCTTCTGCTATAGTAGGTACCAAAAGTATAAAGTAGTTGAAACATGCAGCTTATTAAGGAAGCTAAGCAGAAATGGTATTATTCAATCATGAAAATAATTATGTTAAATTAAAAGTCACCCAAACCCATAAGAAGTTAAATATGTTCATATAAGAGTTATAAAAGGCATTATTTTAGTCCTCAGAAAAAAATCTGCGATTCAATGAAAAAGGAATTAAACCAAGCCAAAATATCACGTATTGTTTTACTAATAAACTCACTACCAATCACTTGAATAACTCTCCCAAGTGAAAAACAAATTGAGATTTGAAATAAAAATGTACCTCTTCACAAAGATGGCATGCAGAAAGCAAAGGAAAAAATACCCTGCCCCTCCCAATGCCAAAGCCAAAACAAAGGCTTGTAAGGCCAAGAAGGCAGTGCTAAAAGGCAACCAATCACAGCCACCAAAAAAAAAAAAAAATCTGAATGTTACCCACCTTCTGGTGGCCCAAGACACTCCAAAGGCAGCCCAAATATTTTCTCTGGAAGAGCAACAAGCTTGACCACTATGCCATCATCAAGTTGCCCCTGAGCAATGAGTCAGCCATGAAGAAGACAGAAGACAATACACTCGTGTTCATTATGGATGTCAAGGCCAGCAGGCACCAAATCAGACAGACTATGAAGAAGCTGTATGACATTGATAAGGGCCATGGTTCACACCCTGATCAGGCCTGATTAAGAAGGCATATGGTCCACTGGCTCCTGACTATAATGCTTTGGATGTTGCCAACAAAATTGAGATCATCTAAACGGAGTCTAGCTGGCTAATGCTAAATATAAATTTTTTCACAATACTAAAAAAAACTACAAAACTACAGTCCTTAAATGAGATGTTAAATAAGTAAAAGAACTCTGCCAATAACAGAATGCTCCAACAGAATGCTGCACGCTTCTTCCATGTAAGAAGTCCAGTTACCCTGTTACCACCATGCTTTGAGGAAAGCATCCACGCAGAGAGCTATGTAGCAGGAGGTATCAGAACCAGGTGTGGTAAAGAGGGATCCAGAAAGGAAAAGGGTGGTGACAGAAAAAGAGACTGGTAGCATGCAAAGGGATTGATCAAATAAGTTAACATACAAAGGACATCAGTCAGAAGGGAGTTATGTATATGAAAAAATAAAAAATAAGCATGAATCCTGTGGTACTGAACTGGAATTGAATATATTGCTATAAACTAGTATCTTTAAATATAGAATTACAGATGCAGACCTATACATAGACATATATATTCCTTAGCACTGTCTATTAAGTAAGCCTAAGGGCAGCAGCACCCAGATCTAGTTTCTAAGTACCATTCTCCACTAAGAGCAAGGGATCCAAGGGTCTTGCCACAAATTACAAAAGGGAAAAAATAATTTTACAGTGGGAAAGTATGGTAGGCTGAATAATTGCCACCCAAGAAGTCCACATCCTGATACTCAGAACCAGTGAATACGTTATCTTACATAGCAAAAAAGACTACAGATCCAACTAAATTAAAGATCTTTAAAAAAAAAATTTTTTTTTTAATGTTTTATCTATTTCCAAAAGAGAAAGAGAAACAGTGCGAGCAGGGGAGGGTCAGAGAGAGGGAGATACAGAATCTGAATCAGGCTCCAGGCTCTGAGCTAGCTGTCAGCACAGAGCCCGGCATGGGACTCGAACCCATGAACAGTGAGATCACGACCCGAGTTGAAGCCAGACGCTTAACCGACTGAGCCACCAGGCACCCCTAAATTAAAGATCTGGAGAGAGGAGACTATTCTATGTTATAATCTGGATGGTTACAATATAATCACAGGGGTCCTTACAAGGAGAAGGCAGGAGGGTCAAAGACAAAGAAGATGAAATGACAACAGCAGGAGATGCTGGAGTGATATCCTCTGAAGATTGGGGGGGGGGGATCATAAGCCAAGCAGCCCAGGCTATCTCTAGAAGCTGGAAAAGGCAAGGAAATAGACTCTACTTGAGAGCTTCCAGGAAGAACCAGCTCTACCAACACCATGACTAGCCTAGTGAAATTGATTTTGGACTTCTAGCCTCCTGAACTGTAAGAGAATAAATTTATGTTGTAATTTGTTACAGCACCAATAAGAAATACAAAAAGCCTGGCAGACATTATCTTAATCAGGTGCTCAATGAACATCACCAGCAAAGGGACAAAAAGCAATCATATTCCATCTGACAGAATGCAATAAGAGGAACACAGAATCAGTTTTGTGAAATTCCTGCCTAAGATATAAATCTGAATCTAATCATGAGAAAACACCAGTCAAATCCAGGTTCATTCTACAAAATTACTGGCCTGTAATCTTCAAAGTCAAAAAGCTGAAGAACTGTATCAGACTAAAGATTAAAGAAACATGTCAACTAAATGTCATGTATGAATCTGAGCTGGATCTTTTGCTATAAAGAACTTCACTGACACAAATGACAAAACTTAAATGGGGTCTGAGGATGAAATGCTAGTAATGTTAATTTCCTGATTTTCATGGTTAAGTTATAGACACTTCTGAAAATACCACTGGTGATTTTTTAATCTGTATTTCATTAAGCCTCCACACTCATTTTCAACTATAAAGCCAGGGAAATGCTTGATAAGGTTATATGAACAATGCTGAAGTCACTTTATTAACCAGACAGCTTGATCTATTCAAAGCAATGACATTCTCCCAACGTCTCTGGCCAAAAAAAGTATACATGGTTTTCAGTTACACAGTTTTACACAACGTATACATGTACCTTGTATGCCTCACTCTTCCAATCCAAAAATTAAATCTTAACCTTGCAGGAGAATACAGAAGTCAATCAATAAGTACTACAAGCTATGGTTTACACAGTAACACACTGGCATTTACATTTCTAGCACAACTAAATATTCAAAGCACATATTCCAAATCTCTAGATGAATGACCTCAAGTGAAAGTAAGTAACTACCACACATTAGGTCCTTCAGGTAGGTTTTTAGAAGACACTTAGAATTTTTTTTTGAAAGTTCTTTTAAAAATACTAGTGTTCTAGCTAGTAAAAATTACGTTAGTAATACCATTAACTTATACAGTTTTTAAAGAAATCAATACATGGGGCGCCCAGGTGGCTCAGTCGGTTGAGCGCCGACTTCAGCTCAGGTCATGATCTCATGGTTCCTGGGTTCGAGCCCTGCGTTGGGCTCTGTGCAGACAGCTAGCTCAGAGCCTGGAGACTGTTTCAGATTCTGTGTCTCCCTCTCTCTCTGACCCATCCCTGCTCACACGGTCTCTCTCTCTCTCAGAAATAAATAAAACATTAAAAAAAATTGATACACATTTACAGAAAAGGGAAATTACAAAGTCATAAAACAATTCTGTGACTTAAAAAACTATATAATTACATATTATGATTGCTCTCAGCAGCTGAACATAAAGTTTTTATGTCTGTGGGAACAGTACAGGTTTGGGGGAGAGTTAATATGGTTGTGCTTCATAAGCTATACAATGCCTTTGCTAAAATAGTCACATCCATCTGTCCATGCCAGGATGATCTGCCAGGGTACAGTGTAACTGAATGAACTCTCAGCACCATATTCCTAGAACACAAAGAGCTGAAAGAGTATTAGCCAGATCTTAAATCTTCAAACCTGCTTGCTTGATTACCGCAAAAGAATTTTTTAAACTCATGTACCTACTTGGAAATTTCTGATTTGGCATCTCAAATTTTTCACCAGAAGTCTGAAGAGGTACATACAAAAGAGATCATTTCTGACATGAAGTTGATGTTTTATCTTTTTAAGTATTTTTTTAATGTATGTTTATTTCTGAGAGAGAGAGAGAGAGAGCGCACGCAAGTTGGAAAAGGGAAGAGAGAAAGGGAGACACAGAATCAGAAGCAGGCTCCAGGCTCCGAGCTATCAGCACACAGCCCAACGCGGGGTTCGAACCCACGAACTACGAGATCATAAACTGAGCCAGTTGGATGCTTAACTGACTGAGCCACCCAGGCACCCCAAAGTTGACGTTTTAAAATAAAATAGTTCCATCAGTTTTAAACACACCAGTGAAAACTAAAAACCATAGCAATTTCATACATTAACCAGTTACAAAATTTTCACTTACAAAACTTCATGAACAAGTCAGCCCTTCATTTTACTTCCCCCACAGTTTTATCCTAATGTAATATATTTTTATATTAAGTCATTTCTTATAATACTGACATATACCTCTAAATATTAATTTTTTTATTCCCTGGACTACTGTTTTTCCCAACTTTTTATTTTGAAAATTTACAAACCTTCAGAAAAGTTGAAAGAATATTACAATGAACATCCTTCATCTAAATTCACCAAACGTTAACATTTTGCAACTCTTGGCTTTATCTCTAGTTTCCTCTTTCCCCTCCCACTTTTTTTCCCCTAAGTTTATTTATTTATTTATTTGGGGGCAGGGAAAAGAGAGACAGAAAATGTGTGCTTCCATGGGGGGGGGGAGAGGGGGGGAGAGGGAGGGAGAGAGAGAGAGAGAGAGAGAGAGAGAGAGAGAGAGAGAGAGAGAATCTCAAGTAGGCTCCCACTGTTAGCACAGAGCCAGATTCAGGGGCTTGATTTCAGGAACAGTGAGATCATGATCTCAAGCGAGATCAAGAGTAAGATGCTTAACCAACT